AGTGAAATAATAATTCCATAGAAGCTTCAGAGAGGCAGATCTTTCATTCAGTTATCCAGTTATTGTAAACCTGTGGCAATAATGACAAGGGCATAATGCCAAAAAGCAAACAATTTGTGTGGCTGTATATAAAATTTCTTAATATTTTATGAAACAAAAAAAAGCATTGATTTGATCATTTTATTTGGGCCTTTGTTGGAGCATGATCTTCAGACTGAACTCATGAATATGACCTATTTCCTTCAGCCCTGAACTCTGGAATGCCTGCATACATTTTGTTTTTAAGAGAGATTTCTACTAGTTAAGAAACTTCTTTTCTGCTGTCTTTGTTAGCATAAAAATACAACTCATCCTCCTCTGAAACTTAATAGAATTACATTTCTTTTCATTTTTAACTTAAGAGGCAGAAGCATAAAGCCATTATTTGTGGGATATCATGAATTTTAAACAATTAGAGTCATGTGCCACATAATGATGTTTTGATAAATGACAGGCTATGTATGCAACGTTGGAACCATAAAATTATAATGCAGCTCAAAAATTCCTATCACACTTGTCATTGCTGTCATGGCACTGCACATTACATGTTTGTGGCTATGCCGGTATAAGCAAAACTACTGCACTGCCAGGCATATAAAAATAAAGCATATGCAGTTACGTACAGTACATAATATGTGACAACAATAATAAATGACTATTACAGTGCTTTTTATGTTTTTTTTTCATGTTGTTAAGTTCTTTAGTGTAGCCTTTTTTATTTTTTTTAATTTTTTTTATTGGTTGTTCAAAACATTACAAAGCTCATGATATATCATCTTTCATACATTTGACTCAATTGGGTTATGAACTCCCATTTTTACCCCAAATACAAATTGCAGAATCACATCGATTACACACTCACATTTTTACATAATGGCATATTAGTCACTGTTGTATTCTGCTACCTTTCCTATCCCTTACTATCCCCCCTCCCCTCCCCACCCATCATCCCTCTCTACCTCATCTGCTGTTGTTCAATTCTCTCCGTTGTTCCCCCCCACCTTTCCCCTCACATCCTCTTCTATGTAATTTTGTGTAACATTGAGGGTCTCCTACCATTTCCCTATGCTTTCCCTTCTCTCTCCCTTTCTCTCCCCCCACTCGTCTTTGTTTAATGTTAATCTTTTCCACATGCTCTTCCTCCCTGTTCTGTTCTTAGTTGCTCTCTTTATATCAAAGAAGACATTTGGCATTTGTTTTTCAAGGATTGGCTAGCTTCGCTTAGCATAATCTGCTCTAATGTCATCCATTTCCCTGCAAATTCTATGATTTTGTCATTTTTTATTGCTGCGTAGTACTCCATTGT